TGTCGGATAATGTCCTGTTCAATCGCTCGGTCAATCCATTTGTTTGTGGAAGATAAGAGGTGGTGACTTGATGGCGTACGGAGCAGGATTGCAAGATTTCTGAGACTACGCGCGAGAGGAAAGAACGTCCACGATCGCTGAGAAGTTCTCGGGGAGCTCCGTACTTCAATATGACGTCCTCCAATATGAAATTGGCTAGGTCAACAGCAGTACTAGTTGGAAGGGCGCGGGTGATCGCATAACGAGTGGTGTGGTCTATTGCAACTGCGATCCAGCGGTTGTCAGTGCGTGACAAAGGAAATGGTCCTAGGAAATCAACTCCGAGTCGCTGGAATGGGCTGAGCGGAGGGTGCAATGGTTGAAGGAGTCCTGATGGTCGAGTATGCGGTTTCTTTCGACGTTGACAAGGGTCACATGAGGAGACATATTTCTTAACAGTTTGATACATGCCAGGCCAATAAAAACGTTCCTTAACCTTTGTGTAGGTGCGAAGCAGACCGAGATGACCTGATGAAGGGACGTCGTGTAGTTCGTTGAGAATAGTTATCCTTAGGTGTTTAGGAACAACTACAAGCCACGGTAATCCATCTGGTCTGAAATTTTGCCGGTATAGGATGTCGTTTCGAATGCGAAAGAGTCCTGAGGGTGGCTGGTTTAGGTTTGACGTTAGATGTTCAATGTGAGCTCGAAGAGCTGGGTCACGGCGTTGTTCCTGGGCAAGGTTGAGGAGGTCTGAGATTGGAAGGACAGGCAGTTCAGTGTCATCTGAGGAATCGACTGGGCTCACTGGGTAGCGGGACAAACAGTCAGCATCTTGGTGCATTTTTCCGGATCTGTATACGATGGTAAAGTCGTATTCTTGAAGTCGAAGCGACCAGCGGCCGAGGCGGCCAATGGGATCTTTCAAGGACGACAGCCAGCAGAGCGCGTGGTGATCAGTTATGACACGAAAGGGACGCCCGAAGAGGTATGGCCGAAATTTACAAATTGACCATACCACAGCCAAGCATTCCCTCTCAGAAATGGTGTAATTACGTTCAGCTGGCGAAAGGAGGCGGCTGGCGTAGGCAATTACTCGTTCTGTACCAAGTTGATGTTGCGCAAGAACAGCTCCGATGCCGTGACCACTGGCATCGGCTCGAATTTCGGTGGGTGCCGTGTCGTCGAAATGTCCAAGAATGGGGCTTGATGTCAAAGCAGCCTTGAGATGTCCGAACGACGAGTGGTGTTGATGGTGCCATTCGAAAGGTTGATTCTTCTTGAGGAGAGAGGACAGTGGTAGCGCGATGTGTGCAAAGTCTCGAATGAAGCGGCGAAAGTAGGAGCAAAGCCCCAAAAAACTCCTAACGTCTTTCGTTGATTGAGGTTTGGGAAAATCTTTGACTGCCTGAATTTTTTCTGGGTCTGGGAGGATACCATTTTTGTCGACGAGATGTCCCAGGACTTTAATTTGCTGACTTCCGAACCGACATTTTGATGAGTTGAGTTGTAGGCCAGATTGTTGAAAAACTTCAAGAACTTGCTGCACACGTTCGAGGTGCTTGGAGAATGAGTCAGAGAAAATGATTACATCATCGAGGTAGCATAAGCAGGTTACCCATTTTAGGCCTTTGAGGAGACGATCCATCATTCTTTCGAACGTGGCTGGCGCATTGCAAAGGCCAAAGGGCATCACCTTAAATTCGAAGAGTCCATCAGGTGTGATGAACGCAGTTTTCTCGCGGTCCGATACGTCGACGCTGATCTGCCAATACCCCGAGCGTAGGTCAATGCAGGAAAAATATTCAGCGCCATATAAGCAATCGAGAGTATCGTCGATACGGGGCAGAGGGTACACATCTTTTTTTGTTATCTTGTTTAATTTGCGGTAATCGACGCAGAAGCGCCATGATCCGTCCTTCTTTTTTACTAAGACGACAGGAGAGGACCAAGGACTTGACGAGGACTGGACAACGTTTTGTGACAGCATCTTATTAACTTCATGTTGGATAGCGCGGCGTTCGCTCGGTGATACTCGGTAAGGACGGTGGTGGATTGGAGGTTCAGTACCGGTGTCGATTCGGTGAGTAACTGCATTTGTCTGGCCAAGAGGACGACTTGGAAAGTCAAAGATGGTGTGGTACTTGGAAAGTAGGTCGTGAAGTTGATGGGTCTTATCTTCGTCCAAAGTCGGATCAATCATGGTTGTAATGCTGGCCAAGGCAGGGCTCGATAGTTGCGTTGCGACGGTGCTTTCTGATTGTTCCTCGGAAATGGCTGCGACGACACAATTGATTGTAGGGAAACTTCGCGCAATAGTCATACCTTTCGGTAATATTTGATGACTCTGACCAATATTGACTACCCATAAATCTGTGGCACCACTTTGGATAGTTGCGACGCAGTGTGGTAATGCAAGTTGCCTTTCAAGCAAGATGCTCATATTCGGTGTGATAATGTAGTCACCGTCTTGGATCGAGTGGGTCGTTGTGACATTTATGGCGGCAGCAGACAAGGGAGGAATGCGTGATGTCTCAAGACAACATAATCTGGACACAACCGAGTCAGAAACGTCGCAGGACTCACTGGTATCGAGCTCAATCTCGCCTTTGGCACAGTCGATGAGGGCCGAATGTGAGGAGAGAAAGTCCCAGCCGAGGATGATCTCGTAGGGACAGGTTATAAGGACTGTAAAAAGGATGAAGGTAGTCTTGTTGTTAACAATTAGGCGAGCGCCGCACATGCCATGAGGTGAAATAATGCCGCCATCTGCACCGCGGAGCGTTTTTGTGTCAGGTGGCGTCAGTACTTTTCGTAAGCGTCGTCGGAGGTCTTCGCGCATTATGGAAATTGCGGCTCCAGTGTCGACAAGGGCTAATGCGCTAATACCGTCAATATGAACCATGAGTCGATTATGAGATGTAGCGACGATATTCTGTAGAGGATTTGCGGCTATAAACTGTGATGCAGCCTCACCTCCTGAAGCTGCATGGTTCAGTTTTCCGAGGGTCGAAGATCATGGGACGGTGAAACGGGGCGGCGAACGAGTGGGGACAATGATTGGCGGCGACGCGGCGACTGAGGGCGAGGGTTCCGCGATGAGCGATAGAATGTTGCATCTTGGCTTGGGTAGTCATCAGAGGGTGAAGCGAAGTTTCTATTGTAATAACGACCGCCATCGGTAGGTAGAGACGTCCGGTTGTTTGGTTGTCGGTTGTTCCAGCGATTTCGACAGTAGCGGGCGACGTGACCAGCCATACCGCAAGTAAAACAAATGGGTCGGTTGTCGGGGGTCCTCCACGTGGCGGGATCACGTCGGTGGTACAGTCTGAAGGATGGCGTCGCAGTTGAAGATTCACAGGCGCAGCATTGGGGTGTCTGTGCCTGTTGATCAAATGATGGTCGAAGACTTGGACGCGGCGAGCCGCCGAACTTCTCTATTTCTTGCCTAACGACAGTTTTGACGGCGGCGATGGATAACTCGCTAGTCGATGAGCGGGGAGACGGGGAAACACCGTCAGCGGGCATCATCGCCTCCAATTCTCGGCGGACGATTTTCGTGATGCGCTCTGTGTTAGTATCAGGATCTTCACAAGATGATGTTGCCGGGGTGTTTGGCAAACGGTTGAATTTGTGCGCTATCCTGCGAGTCTTTGCAGCTTCGAACCTGCGGCACTCTTTCAGGACGTCGTCGACAGTCGAGCAATCTTTAATGACAAGTAGCTGGAAGGCATCATCTGCGATGCCTTTGAGGATGTGTTCCATCCGTTCGATTTCTGGCATTTCGGGGTTCGCTTTCCTGCACAGAGATAGGACGTCTTGGATGTAGGTCACATATGACTCGGTCGATGTTTGGACTCTGGATGCCAACTTTCGCTTGGCCGAGAGCTTGCGACCGGTTGGACGTCCGAAGAGGTCCTGAAGCTTGGCTTTGCAGAGGTCCCACGACGTTAGTTCCTCTTCATGTGTTTCAAACCATGTTCGGGCGGTATCACGCAAGTAGAATATGATATTCGCCAGCATGATAGTGCCATCCCAGCGGTTGTGGACACTTACTCTTTCATAGAGGTCTATCCAGTCTTCAACCTCCTGGTCTCCTGTGCCGGTGAAAAGGCCAGGATCTCGCGGTTTGGCGATAACCAGTGAAGGCTGCGGCGGAGCTTGAGCGCCTTCGGGTGGTGTTTCGGAACTGGAAGTCATGTCGGTGGGAGGTTGGCGACGTCTGCTTCGTGTGTCCAGGTCGGGGCCGATCCGCACCTCCACCAAAGAATGTTACGGTGAAAGATGCTTTATTTACAGACGATTAAGGAGGGTTGTAGGAGAAGGATGAGGTGGGTGCTTCGAACTTGAGGGATCCGGCGATTGGGCACTTCTTCCTTTTCTCCCTGCCTGATTGTCCGTCTTTGTTTCCTTCCTCTTCGTAAGAATATGTATATATATGTATATATATATACTTTTAGATATATACTGGGCGACTACATGTACTCTGTGCGTTTTTATAACTATTGAGGTGATTACGTGTTCCTAGTTTATTTCTTTGCATGAATCACTTTTGTTCGTTTCTGTATTAGTATCTTGTTAGTTGACAAGTTTCAGTAGCCCATCTATTGTGTAATGCCCTATGATAGGGCTTTCAAGATATACTAAATAAACATATAACAATACAGAAATACAATTTCCAATAATTTTAAATTAAATTAATATATATAATAGGAACAACGAAGGTGTGTTGGAACTGCTGGCACTGGGTCAACATTATTAGAGAAAAATTTCAAAACTTCTCTTGCCTAAACCATCAGAATACTTTCAGCCTCCTTAGACAAGATAAAACCAATCCAACATTTAAGTGATAAAGGTGTTCACTAGCAAGTTTATTAAAAATATAAGCAGTTGCATTAGGCTTGCCACCTCAGATAACCAGAGATACTCGCCAGAATAAAAAAAAATAAATAAAAATAAACCATTGAGGAATGTCCATGTCATACTACATAAAGTTTTAATTTGTTTGTTTTTGTTGTAAGGTATCAAGTTAAACAACACGAAGACACAATACAGGCAGACGTGACCCGAGACTTCATCGATGGCTTCCTCAAGCAGGTTGAGAAGCACCGGCGTGATCCCAATCCTGCGTTTGAAGGTAGGTTGACAACAAATGTGCAACACCAAGTCGCCGCTGCAATAACCATATAATGTCTAAATTTCTCAAGCACTACACTCTTCAAAAAAAAAAAAAAAAAAAGTCAGCAATAGTTAGTAAATGCAGGCAGCTACCAACCGTCTGCTAACCTTTCTACTAACTGTTTACTGCATAATTTACGCCACAGACAATATAATTCGATTGATACTAGCCAAACAAGTTGAGTTAGTAATTATTACTCGCAAAGACAGTCGAACTAGTCATCATTATTACTGTTTTTGCGTAGCTATGTGAAGAAGCGAAAACACGATCGTTAGGAAGCCTTGATGATCAGGCTGTTCTATCGATCGTCGTAAATAATTACAGCGTGGACTTGCAACTTGATACTTGCAACAAAAAGATTCACCCCTTGAACCATTCAAATTAAATTTGAAGAATGAAATGAGTAAAAAAGCAAAAAAAATTCTTGTTAAATGCATTATTGCTGAGGTGATAATTGAGGAAAGGCGTGCCTTAAAAATGGCGGGTTTATAAGGCGAAGGAGCAGCCGACGGAATCAGTGGTCGATGAGGCACGCGTTTATGTCAGTGTTTTCTTGTTCTCCGTTTGTGTATGTGATTTCTGTAAGCGATATGTTAAGCAGGTTGATGACGTGTTCAATTTGTGTTCTGGGATTTCCAAACTTTACCCCTGGTCCTCATTGAGGTAAATAGTCACTCCGTAGTCCGCTCTATGCGCGGCTACGGCCGGGTCCGTCCATTGATTGCCTTTTTGGGCACCAGTGGACGAGAGACAACACCAGGGTGTAAGATAGACAAGTGGGGAAACGGCCCATAGAAGCCTACCGCAGCGCCGTGACCGGATTGTGTACTCGTCTGCTTGCATGCAACTTTATGGGATTTGCATGCAACTTTATGGGAGAGTGCCCAAAATAAACCGAGAGCACGAAATTCCTCCATTGAAAATCCACGAGAAACCATCTCCTTCAGTTTAGCCGGTTGCCACCGGTCACCCACCCGGAGTGAGAGTTCGCGGTGCTCCAGATAGATGGCGCCACAGAAAAAGAGAAAACCGAGGGGTACACAATCGTGTCGCTCATTTGGCTCTCGTTTCCCCACCTGTCTATCTTACACCCTGCACAACACCAACACAGTGAGTCCCTTTTCGACGTGTTTATTGACTCAAACGCCAACACGTTTTGCTCTTAGACAGGAAAGGTTTGGGCGCTGGCTCAATCGCCAGTATCACCCGGTCGCTTTCTCGCGCTGCCGCAATAGACAGATTTACGGGAAGTCGGAGGCCTACAAAGAAAAACCGAGCTCCGTAGAGTCAGGGCCTCCGCCGACGAGAGCCCCCGGCCCCCCCAAAATTGGTTTGCTCTTTATGTTTATACAGCCTTGATGGAGATGCGCCTCAACGGGTAATCGGTCTCTTAGCTGTAGATGATGAATTTAGCCGGTGCAGTACAACCGCTAACCTGGGACTTTTAACGTGCATCACGCAGTAGTGATCACACGAACGCGTGCCGGTACGAAACTCATCCAGAACGAAACGGGCGGGGGCGGCGGGTATCGAACCCAGGAGGTTCCCAGCGCAAGCTTTCGCTCCACGCTCCGAGCTGAGGCGCGTTAGCCCACTTGGCCACTTCCTCCCCAGCCCCCGGCCCTCCTTCGGGGCCGGCGTATGTAGCCTCGGAGATATGGACGCGCCCGGGGAGGCCGGTAGCAGTCACGTCCACTATCACTCTCAAGGGTGCGCCGGCGGTACATTTACGCTACGTAAATGTACCAAGGCTCAAGGGTGCCGGCGCACCCTTGAGCCTTGGGTGCGCCGGCTCACCCAAGGCTGTATTTTCCGTTCGAAGAATACAGCCTTGGTTCCTCGCATCCGAGTAGCCACCGCCATTGGTGACGACGACTCCCACGACCTGCTTGAAGCTAGACCTAGATAGGGATATAGAGAACCCCATGGTTCCCAGAGTGTGTAATATTAAATGCAGAAGACGCAGTGCCTGAAAATCTGTAGCCACACGAGCAAAGCCAATATTCTTTTGTAGGGTTTGAATTTGGCGGTAGCTACGGCTTCTTGAGCTAGGAGGAGATAGCACAAGGAAAAACAAATGCCCTGCAATTGTGTTAGTACGTAGAACGTTCTTGGTTTCTAGTGACCTCCCGGCATTTCTTCTAGGGCTGTGCCTTCAGATCTCTGCGCTCCTGTCCACCCCGTTGACTCCTCTCCACCTCATTGTCTCATTGGCCCATTGATTTTCCCAGTCGAGTAGGCCTGTGTCTACAGATTAGGGGCAGTAGTAGTATAAAACGTTTATTTGGACCGCTTTAAGGGGTAGGTGGAGGGCACTGTGTCAATGGCATCGAGGCCTGGACTGGCGGTATGCGGGGAGGGAAGTATATACTTCTATGCCAGTTTCGTGGACATAATCAAGAAGCGTGCGTAGAATTCGATATTGCTTTTCTGGAAGGCCTGGGGAAAGATCCAGTCCTCCATGAATGTCGCTTCGTGTTATAAGTACTTCTTTGGTGTTGCCACAAGGTCTTTGCAATTTTATAACAGGTGAACTAGGTTGCCCACGTGTTGGGGGACCTTGCAGTAACAGCATGTCGGTGGTGTGCGCGCCTTGTCCCACGCTGCTCTTTTGTTCGGCGTTCAGGCAATATTGGTTCTAATGCGCTTGAAAGGTGCCCAGAGGAGGTTTCTGAGATCGCCTAAATATGGTGATAACTCGCTCTGTGGGCTCTAAACATCAAAGAAATCAATTAAACATACCAATGCGCGGCCAATTTCCTTATTAAGAAAGCAATCAAAGATCCAAATTATCTCTTGAAATGTAAGGGGCATTGTACCGGCAGCCAGGACGGCATGTGACCAATGAAAACGCGACATTTCGTTGAATTGCAAACGCTGTTATTACATAATGTGTATGCTTTTGCGGACGATAGAAGCAAGCGGGATGAGTCGAAAAATGTCAATTTTTCGCGGAGAGGGTACATAACAGAGCAAGAATCGACTCAAAGCAACAAACTGTCGTTTTTTTTTTTTTTTTGCTGGAGTGCTGTCCGGTCGTCAGCTCTCGAGCGTATTCGAGATATCACTCCGCGGTTCAACCGGTCGGAGGCGGGAGGATGCTTCGTTTGCTATTGACTGACAGTGGTCCCGATTTCGGAACATGCTCCACCCATCGCCGGAGATGAAAACGGCGTTTCGATCTTTGATTGCTTGTTCAATAGGGGCATCGGCCGCGTATCCTCGTGATCTAGGGATTTCTAGGAGGCTTAGAGCCAGCAGGGTGCTTTATCGCCGTATCTAGGCGATCTCAGAAACCTCCTCAGGGCACGTTTAAGAGCACACTCATTCTCTGTCCAAAGCCTCTCGCGGCAGTGGGTCAGAGATTGGTAGATGTGCCCTCTGCGTATGACGGGACGAAAGTTTGATCTGTTCTTAAGGTTTGTCACGGTTATAATAGTCTCCGTCTTCGTCATCTTCGGGTGAGGAAGGCGCGTAGCCGTGATCCTGGAGGCAGACTTGTACGTAATCCATTACAAGTAACGCAGTCACTTGTAATCCCTTACATTTATCAGTAATTTTGTAAGGGAATAATTACATATTTCAGAAAGTACTAGTAAAGTAATTTTTTTACTTTTTACGTAAAGGAACGATTGTAATCCGTTACATTTTTATTTTCATTCGTGGAGGAAACATGAGGAAACTTTGAATATTGACAAAAATCGTCAAAATTTTTTTTTGTAAAAACAAATCCGGGTGACAGTGTGATTCTACCGAAATTACACTATCACCTGCATTTAGAAAACGCAAAGCCTGGCCTTCTTTAGATGCTCAAAGTCTTTCTTCACGCCACCTTAAAGGGGCACTCAAGTGGTTCTTGAGTTCGTGTTTTGATGATGACAGCTGAATTTAGACGCCCTAAGTATCCCTAAAAACCAAAAAGTATAGTCATACGGTGATTATTTCATTAATAAAAATGTAATTGAAGGCCGCCAAACCTCGGATCTATCCGGAAACGAAACCACTCTCATTGGTCCTTGCACGCTTATCAAAAGGATCTCGGGCCAATGGCGTTGAACGACGTTCCGTCGCGCAGTGATCCCGAACCTCTTTGTCATTCGAGCTTCGATCATGGCGGAGTTCTCTACGCTCGAGGACCTGACGCCGTTAGAGCTTGAAATTCTTCGGCGGATAGCCGACCTGGGGATGATTTTCTATGACGCCACTCCGACGTGCGATGTGGACGATAGCGGCGCTTCGGAGTCATGTTCGGGTTCCGAAGACGACGAAACGCAGACCTTTTCGGGCGTTCTTCGATTTGCGGTTGGGGAAAGTCGTAACCAAACCAACGTTTGACATCGCTGCGTTACCTCTGGTACGTGATGTCAAACGATGTCGCCACGTTGACTTTCGCCTCGGGAGGACGGGGGTAAGGCTGGTTCAGACATGTGCAACGAGCGCGTACCTACGACTGCGTCCGTTGCAATCGGAGCGACCGGAACGACCGCTCTGCGCCGCGCGTACACACACCTGTAACCACTACAGCAAGCGCAGCGGGTCGTCAGCACGGCGACCGCTTCCGCCGTCAGCTGTTTCAGCGGCCCCTCTAAAAAGCGGACGCACTGCCACTCAATGCCGTAACAGAATATAGACAGACAGTTTTCTAGCCTAAAGCTTTATTATTATTTTTTCTTGATAGGCTTGCAGGGTACAGTGGATGAAAAAAAGAAAAAGAAAATGAAAAGATGCAGTCCGCCGTCTTGGACGATCACGACTCTAATACACGACATTGCAATAGTAAAAATATCGCCACATGCCTTTTCTACGATTATAAAAGACAATGTTATCTTAGCAGCGATATAGCAACGTAGAAATATGATTTCGTGATCAGATAGACGTTGCGAGCGTTCAGGATTGCTAACACTAATCACTTTTCTCCGGTGATGAAAACGCGTGAAAATTCGCATTTTTTATACGGTACGCGCCAGTAATACTTTGAACTTGAGCACACGCATGAAATGCGCCAAATAAGAAATGCGGGCGATGTTCGAAGACACAAATGCTTAGAAAGCGCCGCTGTAGTCGAAGTAAACAAACACGACGGCACGGGCGTTTCTGCTGTCTTGAGAGTGCCGTCACGACATCGCCGCACGCGTAGGTGGATCTTCCCTTCTAGTACGTGCTGGGTTATCATAGCGACACACGACGAAAATTCACAGTCAAGGACAGCGCTTTTACGCGGAATGATGAGCTTTCACCACGCCGTCTACGCCGACGATCTCCACCGACGCCACGTTTGCGGATGGAAGGAGCCGGCCGGCCCTCGACCGGCACGACCGGTCTGCAACGCGCGGAGATACGTGTGCTTCCGCGCATCCCTGGGGAACGGGAAATTCACCCCCCCGCGGAGGAAGGCAAGGAGAAAACGTAGTCCCTTGTTTGTGAAACGATAATTGCACTATCGCGTGTTCTAAACTAGAAATATTTTACGTCTTGTGAAATTATCATGCACACCATATTTAAATGAACTGAATATTGTTTCTTTAGCAAAACTTTACAAAGACCGCCAACATTTTCAACGATAATTTCATTGGTCCTCGCAAGTACAGAAAAGAGTCTGCACGTATTTTATTCTTGCGTAATTAATAGGCGGTTCTGCCTTCTAAAACTGAAGATACTCATTCACTGACACTTCCTTAACGCCATCGCACCAAAAAGTAGCTTCTCCAAAAACCGCTTGAGTGCTCCTTTAAACCTCAACTCGAATCTTTTTTCTTGTGTGGTTTGTTGTTTGCAAATTGTAACTCGTCAGCTTGCTCGCCCACAAAGAAGTAGGAAGCACACTGATATAGAAAACCGAACTTTCCGCGCAAGCAATATTAGGCGAACTCCCGAGTTCAGAGTGTTTCCTTCCAACAAAAAGAAATACAAAAAAAGTCAAAGTTCACGCGAGCTGGTTAGCGGTTTGTGCGCGCCTTTTCCTTTTATCTCTTTACTCTTTCTTTGCTTCCTTCTGGCTGAGAGAGAGATAAAGAGAGAGAGAGAAAAAAAAAGAAAGAAGGAAAGAAAGAGAAGACGACTTGTTTTATATCATTTTTAGGGACCAAGATAATCTGCACTGGGGAGAAAAGCGAAGTTTGGTGGAGCCGACTGATCTCTATGTCTATTTGCTGGATCGCGTTTGACCAGATCCGCCTATGGACTGGAATGCGGCCACTGTCGGCCATCTTTTTGGTAGAGTTATATTATCTCTAGCCATCATACAAATATAGTGGACAGCGCTATGGCGGGAGGCTGCCATAAAAATAGCTGTGCGTCTAGTACTCTGTACCGTGCACATTTCGTGCTTGATTGAAGTTGTTCCACGAAGCAGATTCTTGAAACCTGGCGTGAACAATAGCTCCATCTTTGAGGACCCGGCGAAAGTTCTACAAAAGCGCAGCACCGGGGGAAAGCAGCACAGCTCGCATGGAAAGCAGACGCCGCACCGGCGTCTGCTTTCGATGCGACTTTCGATGCGTGCTGTGCTACTTTTCCCCTGTGCTGTGATTTAGTGAAACTTTCACCGGGTCCTCAAAGATTGGCCTACCATTCACGCCGGGTTTCAACAATATGTTTGGTCGAATAATTTCAATCAAGAACGAAATACCACCCACGGCTATTTTTATGGCAGCCTGCCACCACAACTTCCACAACGCTGCCTGCCATGGATGGATCAAAGTGACTGCACCAGCTGTACATTGCGTAGAGTTAATATAACTCTACCAAAAAGATGGCCGCCAGTGGCCGCATTCGCAGAGCGGGCAAACGCGATCCAGCGAATAGACATAGAGATCAGTGGTGGAGCCGTAGTAAGAACACAGCATCTCAATGGGTCAAAAAGCTCTAGCTGACGTTTTGGGTGTCGAGCGGGTAGGGGAGGCCTTGCGAACGCGTTGTTTTCTAGCTACTCAGGCGCGCGTCCAGGTGGCAGCACCTATTTGGAAAAAGGTGGATTAAAAAGGTGTTTAGTGCAGCGGACGACATCTTCACATAGAAACGAGGCAAAATGTCCGATCAGACGTTTTGAGAGCCAGATGTGGCTCAAGTTTACAAAAGTGTAAGTAGCGGGAACAATAACCGCTTGTATAACATTTGTGTCTTGTTCCTTACCCTAGGACAGTAAGGTTGAAAGTAACGCCGCAAAAGTAACGGATTACTTTTTGAAGTAACGGTCACTTACTTTTATGGAGGTGTAATTGTAACTGCAGTTAGTTACATTTAGGGTATGGGTGATTGTGGATGAAATTCCTTCCTTTTTTATAATAACATGTACAAGTCTGCCTGGAGGTAGCTGAGTTGCTTCTGCGTTTCGCGCAGTGTATGCCTATTAACGCTCGAGCTGCAAAGTGTGCCTGCTCATTAATTTACCAGCTATGCTTACGGAGAAAGTTGGAGGAACATCTTTTTGATGGCGTTTGCTCTCTTCCATGGGCTGCTTCTATTTTTGCGCTCGGTGAGCGAGGCTACCGAGTCAGTAAAACGTGCAGCTGTTTTGGTCTAATAGTTTTGTTCTTGAGGGCTGTTTTAATTGCATTTTGAATAGCTCCGAGTTCGCCACCCTTGACAGAGGTGCTGTTCGTTAATTCCTTGGTACATCTAATTCCTTTTCCCGGTATTGCCACTGCGACAGTAGCAAGTTGGTGTGGAGTGTCGCGAAAGCCGCGTCTGTGCAGACGGCTAGCTTCTCAATCGAGCTTTCCCAATCTTGGATCCGTTTGTTGTGGCTACGGGCTTGCGATATCTGACCATCACGTCCTCAAAGCTGGCGCGCGCTAGCTCACTCGGCTACCGATCCCCCTAGATTTAGTTCCCCTGCTAGATGGGCTGCGGCTGGTCACGTGCCCGTTTTCCCGCTGAATTTACATGAAGAACTAAATTTTTGTGTAGATCACGTGATGTCGTTTTGCGGCTTCACTTCATCTGAAGAGAAGCCTCCGGTCATGTGTCAATTTTTCCACTAAATGTTGCGGGTAAACTGAATTTGCGCATAGACCACGTGATATTGTCTCGAATGACAATTGATGAGGTGACGAATGAAGAAAACTGAACGTTTATTGGGGTGAACTTGTGCCGAAAACAGAAAGGCTAGTGTCGCTGGAGTCAATGTCTGCAAAACAGCAGGATCGAGCGCTGGGGTGACGTTTTCTCCGGTACGTCACGCGGACCCCCTTTTGTACACGCGTGGGCTTCTAGAACAATCGGCGTACAAGGTTCGGCGCGTAGAACATTCGGTCCTCGAACAAGCAACAGGGTTCTCGAATACACGAGAACGCGACATTTACAGAAATAACAAAAAGGCGCGTCCGCTTCCAGGGCATCGAGCCTCGGCCCTTTGCGTGGAAGCCAAACGCGATAACCATTCGGCCACGGGCGCGGTTGTTCGGAGACGCGCGTGGCGATATAATGTCACGTGACTTCAATTTTCGGCTGAATTTAGCGAGGAAACATTTGTGTATAGGTCACGTGACTTAAAGACGTGACGTCATTTTTCCCGCTAAACTTAGCGGAGAAGTTCTGGTTACGCTTTTTGTGGCTTCACTCATCTGAAAACCTAGCCTATAAACGTTTCACGTGAAAGATAACGGTTACTAACTTCCATTGTTCGTAACTGCAGTTAACACACCCTTCGCTAGCTGTATGGTTACTAAGATGTTAGTGATATATGTGAGAAGCAGTTACTAACTTATTGTGAATATGTACAGCGACCTTTAAGAGTTAACTCACATATATACGAGCTAGGGTGGCGTTCAATATAACCTTGCATAAATCTCTGACTTTTCATTCATATAGAGGTGACTAAGGTTTTCTTTAACGTTCGTTCTTTTTCATAATTCTGAGAAGCAAGCAGAAGTTTCTTCTTGTTTAAGTTTTTGACCGACTGCTTGTGAGAAGGTAAATACTTTAAATGCTACGAAATATACTGAAAACAATTGCAAATGACGATAATAAACGTTCAAGAAGACTTCCTCTGCGTTTCCTGCGCCCTCATACTTCAAAATACATGTTCTGAAATGAAATCAGAGTTATTTTAATGTAGTAGACAAACAAAAATCACGTACCGAGTTAAAAAAGAAAAAAAAAATGACCGCATCTCCACGTGGTGAATGATGTTGATTGGGGCGAAGCTCTGGTGGTGCTGATGGTACTGATTTTATTGTTCATAGGTAGTGCTGATGGTGCTGATTTTTTTATTGCTCATAGGTAGTGCTGAGTTCTGGGTTGCGTTTCGACTTCATTATTACTGCTTTATGGTTGGTGAAATGCAGAGCCAGTGGTTCTTCTAGCGGATCAGCTTGGATACGCTAGAAGCCGTGGGAACGCGTCTCCACCGCTAAAGTCAACAGTTCATGTCAGAAAGAGAATGTGTGGTACGGAACGTGGTCATATACGCATTTCAGCCTTTGACCGCAGCGCCGTCTCGTTTATAAAAGTTGAGCCAATGCATGCAAAAGTTTAACGCGATTATATACGCATTTGACTGCAGCACTCTCTCCTGTTTAGACGTTGAACGGCTACATGCCACGTTTCATCCATGATAGAAACCCCAGCTGTCGAGTTACTACCACATCTCAGAGCCTCCTACTCGTCCCGCAGTGGTGGCCGAGTGGTTAAGGCGATGAACTACAAATCCATTGGGGTCTCCAGGCACAGGTTCGAGTCCTGTCGACTGCGCAAACGTGTTTTCTTTTTATGTGAGCACGGACGGACGGACGGACGGACGGACGGACGGACGGACGGACGGACGGACGGACGGACGGACGGACGGACAGACGGACGAACAAGGCTAGAGTCTAAGGAGCTTCGTCCCTAAAAATATATTGGTTGAGTGTGTTACGAGGAGCGAAAGCTCCTGCTGCAGAACCTAGCGATTCTGGATTCAATAAACTTTTCCGGAAAATCCCAGTAGACCTTGCAACGAAGAGAATTAGAGTTTTTTTTTATTTATTTTATTTTATTTTTATTCGGATGCACGCTCGTGCCTGCTTGAATGCTTCGTATATTCTGGTAGCGGCACCATTAATTATTTTTTACCACTAAATGCTCAAAACAGAAAAAAATAAATAAAAATAAAGCGAGTGGGAAAGAAGGCTATCCCATACTTTGTTTTGCTTTCCTCCTGCCTTCATTGCGTTCTGAAATCACTAAATGTTAAAGCAACGTACTTCGTCTTCGGTTCTTGCATGATTTCACGTGCCGCACATCTGAACGTCACAATGCGTAAAGCAGGCGCCGAGGGCACCACATATTTCAGGAAAGGTTTATTATGTAACATCGATTGCCCGTAGCGTGCGCAGGTAAGTCCTAAATGTTTTAGCTTAGGAGTAACAATGCGCGGACACATACACACAGACACGCAGAGAGAGAGAGAGAGAGAGAGAAAGAAAATGGGGAGGCAACTATTACGCGAATAGGCAATCGACAATAATTATGCTTTTTTTAGATGTCTTCAATACTGCCATGCCATCGGAGGTGCCTCTGATATGAAATGTGCCTATATGCCAACCTGTGTGGTATACTTTAGGTTCGACGTTCAGCTGTACGCATAGTTTGCAATAAAGCCAGGAGTCACATTTGTGTTAATTTTAACATACCTTGTGTGTGTAATAAAGTAGGCTTTTCTATGGTTGAAATAGGAAAATGTAGACATAGGAACACCATATCCGCACCTATACACCTGTCTCTTTAGTTCCCGCCAGTTCCAGTCAAGGCTGGGTGGCGGGGAGAGCGGAAAGTGAAAACGTTGGGAGATGTATTAACGGCAGGAGAGGGATTGGGCCGCAAATGAGTGAGGGCGGTCGATGCGGTACGAGCAGCATAATGATTAGTTTGTGTCACTGTGAGAAAGCACGCAAGCCGCATTCCTCGTGGGCACAATGACACGTAATACAGGTAATTCAAGAGTGCCTCCGGGAGGTTTCGCCTAATCACAACGGCGGGAAGATCGATCGATCGATCGAAAGAGAGAGAGAGAGAGAGAGAGGTTGATACTTTGCTGTTGTTTTCGGTGAAGCCTACACGTATGCACTTTTTGCGACTAATGCGCAAGTGGCGTCTCGCGGCAGAAAGAACCCAAGATAAGATGAAACCCCCCCATTTTCGTTGTCATAGGTGGCCCACATTGTTGAGACCGTGTGTCCACTGCTAATACATCGTACAAGAAACAGCCTAGAGTCATCGACCGAGGCATGTTCCTTCCTTGCATCACGATCCTGCCACATTGGTAATACAAAGACTGTCTGCAGACATCATCCGAGGCACCTCTTTTTCTTGCCTAACGATCATGTCACATTGGTGATACAAAGACCGTCTGCAGACATCATCCGAGGCACCTCTCTTTCTTGCCTAACGATCATGTCACATTGGTAATACAAAGACTGTCTGCAGACATCATCCGAGGCACGTCTCTTGCCTACCGATCATGTCACATTGGTAATACAAAGACTGTCTGCAGACATCATCCGAGGCACGTCTCTTTCTTGCCTAACGATCATGTCACATTGCTAATACAAAGACTGTGTGCAGACATCATCCGAGGCACGTCTCTTTCTTGCCTACCAATCATGTCACATTGGTAATACAAAGAATGTCAGCAGACATCATCCGAGGCACCTCTCTTTCTTGCCTAACGATCATGCCACCTTGGTAATACAAAGACTGTTTGCAGACATCATCTGAGGCACCTCTCTTGCCTAACGATAATGTCACATTGGTAATACAAAGAATGTCTGCAGACATCACCCGAGGCACGTCTCTTTCTTGCCTAACGATCATGTCACATTGGTAATACAAAGACTGTCTGCAGACATCATCCGAGGCACGTCTCTTTCTTGCCTACCGATCACGTCACATTGGTAATACAAAGACTGTCTGCAGACATCATCCGAGGTACTTCTCTCTCGCCTAACGATCATGCCACATTGGTAATACAAAGACTGTCTGCCGACATCATCCGAGGCACGTGTCTTTCTTGCCTACTGATCATGTCACATTGGTAGTACAAAGACTGTCTGCAGACATCATCCGAGGCAAATTTCTTTCTTGCCCAACGATCATGTCGCATTGGGATACAAAGACAGTCTGCCGACATCATCCGAGGCACGTGTCTTTCTTGCCTACTGATCATGTCACATTGGTAATACAAAGACTGTGTGCAGACATCATCCGAGGCACGTCTCTTTCTTGCCTACCAATCATGTCACATTGGTAATACAAAGAATGTCAGCAGACATCATCCGAGGCACCTCTCTTTCTTGCCTAACGATCATGCCAACTTGGTAATACAAAGACTGTTTGCAGACATCATCTGAGGCACCTCTCTTGCCTAACGATTATGTCACATTGGTAATACAAAGAATGTCTGCAGACATCACCCGAGGCACGTCTCTTTCTTGCCTAACGATCATGTCACATTGGTAATACAAAGACTGTCTGCAGACATCATCCGAGGCACGTCTCTTTCTTGCCTACCGATCACGTCACATTGGTAATACAAAGACTGTCTGCAGACATCATCCGAGGTACTTCTCTCTCGCCTAACGATCATGCCACATTGGTAATACAAAGACTGTCTGCCGACATCATCCGAGGCACGTGTCTTTCTTGCCTACTGATCATGTCACATTGGTAGTACAAAGACTGTCTGCAGACATCATCCGAGGCACATCTCTTTCTTGCCCAACGATCATGTCGCATTGGTAATACAAAGACTGTCTCCAGACATCATCCGAGGCACCTCTCTTTCTTGCCTACCGATAATGTCACATTGGTAATACAGAGACTGGTTGCAGACATCATCCGAGGCACCTCTCTTTCTTGCCTAACGATCATGTCACATTGGTAATACAAAGACTGTCTGCAGACATCATCCGAGGCACGTCTCTTTCTTGCGTACCAATCATGTCACATTAATAATACAAAGACTGTCTGCAGACATCATCCGAGGCACCTCTCTTTCTTGCCTACCGATAATGTCACATTGGTAATACAGAGACTGGTTGCAGACATCATCCGAGGTACTTCTCTCTCGCCTAACGATCATGCCACATTGGTAATACAAAGACTGTCTGCCGACATCATCCGAGGCACGTGTCTTTCTTGCCTACTGATCATGTCACATTGGTAGTACAAAGACTGTCTGCAGACATCATCCGAGGCACATCTCTTTCTTGCCCAACGATCATGCCACATTGGTAATACAAAGACTGTCTGCCAACATCATCCGAGGCACGTGTCTTTCTTGCCTACTGATCATGTCACATTGGTAATACAAAGACTGTGTGCAGACATCATGCGAGGCACGTCTCTTTCTTGCCTACCAATCATGCCACATTGGTAATACAAAGAATGTCAGCAGACATCATCCGAGGCACCTCTCTTTCTTGCCTAACGATCATGCCACCTTGGTAATACAAAGACTGTTTGCAGACATCATCTGAGGCACCTCTCTTGCCTAACGATCATGTCACATTGGTAATACAAAGAATGTCTGCAGACATCACCCGAGGCACGTCTCTTTCTTGCCTAACGATCATGTCACATTGGTAATACAAAGACTGTCTGCAGACATCATCCGAGGCACGTCTCTTTCTTGCCTACCGATCACGTCACATTGGTAATACAAAGACTGTCTGCAGACATCATCCGAGGTACTTCTCTCTCGCCTAACGATCATGCCACATTGGTAATGCAAAGACTGTCTGCCGACATCATCCGAGGCACGTGTCTTTCTTGCCTAACGATCATGTCACATTGGTAGTACAAAGACTGTCTGCAGACATCATCCGGGGCACATCTCTTTCTTGCCCAACGATCATGCCACATTGGTAATACAAAGACTGTCTGCCGACATCATCCGAGGCACGTGTCTTTCTTGCCTACTGATCATGTCACATTGGTAATACAAAGACTGTGTGCAGACATCATCCGAGGCACGTCTCTTTCTTGCCTACCAATCATGTCACATTGGTAATATAAAGAATGTCAGAAGACATCATCCGAGGCACCTCTCTTTCTTGCCTAACGATCATGCCACCTTGGTAATACAAAGACTGTTTGCAGACATCATCTGAGGCACCTCTCTTGCCTAACGATCATGTCACATTGGTAATACAAAGAATGTCTGCAGACATCACCCGAGGCACGTCTCTTTCTTGCCTAACGATCATGTCACATTGGTAATACAAAGACTGTCTGCAGACATCATCCGAGGCACGTCTCTTTCTTGCCTACCGATCACGTCACATTGGTAATACAAAGACTGTCTGCAGACATCATCCGAGGCACCTCTCTTTCTTGCCTAACGATCATGCCACCTGGGTAATACAAAGCCTGTTTGCAGACATCATCTGAGGCACCTCTCTTGCCTAACGATCATGTCACATTGGTAATACAAAGAATGTCTGCAGACATCACCCGAGGCACGTCTCTTTCTTGCCTAACGATCATGTCACATTGGTAATACAAAGACTGTCTGCAGACATCATCCGAGGCACGTCTCTTTCTTGCCTACCGATCATGTCACATTGGTAATATAAAGAATGTCAGAAGACATCATCCGAGGCACCTCTCTTTCTTGCCTAACGATCATGCCACCTTGGTAATACAAAGACTGTTTGCAGACATCATCTGAGGCACCTCTCTTGCCTAACGATCATGTCACATTGGTAATACAA